CACCCAAAGTATTTGAAAAGAGTGAAAACTCTCGCATCAAATTAGAAATTTTTTTCTTAGAGCAAATAATTGATTATAAAGGCAACACACTATTAACGTGGCAATAGCTCAGAGCTCTAAGGGGTAAATGTATAACTGGAATGAAAGCACGGTGGTTTAGCGAAATAGAAAAGAAGGTTTTGGTTACAGCTGAGAGAAGAATACTAAAAAAAGAATATCAGCTAGGCCGCGGAAATCCAATATATCTCCCAGTACAGCTCAAGAAATCAAAACCGGACAAGAGATGCAAGCCCTGGATAGTACTGAAAGATCAAGTTTTAACAGCTCCGGTAATCGGTCGTGTTTTAGATGCTAATAGTAAAGATACATACTTTGAACACTGGCTAACGGAGCCCGGTCACAATACAGGGTTACTGTATCGATGTACTAGATGTAGTATAAATATAGCAAATGAAGCAAATCAATATGTAGGCAAGAAGTCGATAACACAAGACCTTCATCAAGTTAAAAGTATTGTTAAGAAAGAGAATAAATGGTCTATGCTAATCCCTGCACCCTGGTTTTTCGCACCTACTGTTCTTGAGCAAGGTATAGAAGAGAGTTTTGTAGAGCTGCAGCCAATCGAAAATATAGACATCACCTTCATTAAAAGTCAGCACTTTAAACCAAAAGTTGAAAAGTTGTTAATTGAAAACATAAATCTCAATTTACACAAAAGAACCAAAAATCTGGTGTTCTTTACAGATGGATTCTTGATATGTCCAAATAATAAATCTGCGAATATTGATTTAATGGGAGCAGGGTGAATACAAATACATATAGAACAATCTGAAGTAGAAGTCACCAGAGGTAGTATAAGGGTGGAAAAGTGGCCTTCATCATCGAAACCTGAACTTGCAGCAATCTGGTGTGCGTTATTAACAACATACTCAGGAAGTACAGTTGAGATTAATACAAATAGTATGGTTGCAATTTATAGTATCCAGAAAACATTAGAAAATAGAAGTTTTAGAGTATTGAGCAAATTAAAGAATTACCTAATCATAGATAAGGTAGTGGAAACGATTCAGTTTAAAGAGCTCAAAATAGTATTGAACAAGGTTAAAGCACATAGTGGTGTTAAGTGAAATGAAATAGCAGACAAGCTAGCGAAAGAAAGTACAAACTTAGACAAAGACTGGTCAATCTGTGAATTTTTTGGATCTAGATGGCCTTTTGGTATAAGGTGGCAAGATGAACAAGTAGACTCTCCAATTAGAGCTTTTATACTTCAAGTTACTAGTATAAAAACTGAAAACAGCTAGTATATGCAAAAAAAGTTATATCTTCATGGCGAAAACAAAAAAGCAGAAGACTTGTTTTGGAGTAATTGTTGAGGAAGATTTAAAGAGTACAGAGGCATGAGATGTGACTCAATGGAAAAAAGTCTTAGATTAGTAGGCTATATTAAAATTTTATTACGAACACTCCTAACGAAAAGTGTTCTATACAAGAGAAGTCCCTCCATGTATCTAGATCCTATTTGTATCCTGTGTGAAGATAATAAGGAGGAAAATGCAGATCATCTTATGCAGTGTCAGATGCTAAATGAAACATGGGTAGAAATCGAAAAGTTTAGCATCAGCCTAGCTTGGGCATCAATGGAGGAAGTTTATAGAGTAGCTTTAACAGTTCAAGATTTGTGGAGAGCAGTTCTTGGTTCATCGCTAGTGGAGAGAGTCAAGGCACGTAGTCTTTTATCAAAGGGCCTTTTTAAACGCTACACACTTTTGTGGTTAAGTAATATTTTAGAGAACAAAGCCGTAGCTCTAGAAACTCTAAAAGCAGCTAGCTTTGGTATGCAAGAATGCTTTTATAGATTGATATGAGTGATAGATGTAGAAAATTTATCATATGGGAAAAAAAAAATAATATTGGCACCAAGAAAAAACGACCTAAGAAAAGTGAAGAAAAGAAAAGGCCTCATGAAAAGGAGAACATCATACCTGGTCTGAGTAGCGATGCTGCGAACTAACCTAGGATGAATAAGTGAATAAAGATGATAGGAATGGATCAATTAGTAGATTCAGAAGTAAGACATTTGTCAGAGTTTGCGGTAAGACAGAGAATTTTAAGTTCTAACCTACCGAGTTGGTGGAATAAAAGTTTGTAAATATTCGATAGGAGCTGAGCCCAGGCTAGACCATATCTTTAAATGCGTCACAACATATGTGGGATAAGGTGGCCAATATCAGTATGGTAGCCAAACTTGGGCATCTCGAAGGGACAGCCAGGTTTTAGTCTAATCAGATTATTAAATAGCTTAATGTGTTTTAAGTAGTAAATATTTAATAAAATTTTAGTACGTGGTTATCAAAGAAAAAAAAAAAAAAAAAAAATATAGAAGACTTATAATACCAACTCTAGGAATGGAAAAACCCCTAAAAATAAAGGAAAATTATGTACTACAACCAAATACATGAACTGCAATCAAAATAAATAAAAAAGGAAATTACTTCGTAATGATAATATTACATATGGCAAAAGAAAGAATATGTGTACAAAATGGATTAATTAATGATTAGACAATCAGAATGATTAAATATACGAATAATCCGAAAGTTATACAAAAGAGACAATATATTGGAAATATAAAAGAAGTAAATAACATTATTAAAATTAAAGAAGTCTGTAAAACAAACAAATATAGATATAATATGAAAATAGGAGAAAAAGATTTAACCGAAAAAGAATGACTTGAAGTATTATTAAAAAATATGGATAAAAGGTTTAGAAAAATATTAAAACCAATATTCATCAAATATATGGATTTATCCAGCAGGTACTATATATACACTGACAGAAAAAATTCCATATTATTGCTGCAGATTACTATTAAAATCACGTAATAACTACGAATTTTATTTTTTTAAAATTTTCTAATAAAATTCATTTTAAAATTGTTGCACCCCGAAAATTACATAAAAGAAAAATTATATATCTCAAATTACATTAAAAATAATAATGGAAATGATAATGTATTTCCTGTTTATTGTTAGAACTGGATGAAGACTCATGAAGTCGTTTGATATCATAAAAAGTTAAAATAGAATATGGTGCCACTTGATTAGAAATAGATTTTAAGGGAGATCATTGGCTTGATAATCTTGAAATATGAGATCTGAAGGTTGATTTTTTGTTATTATTATATCTTGTTGGAGGTGGGGTAAGTGGTAAATTGCTTGAATTTATAAAACCATAATGTAGTTAAAATATGTTAACGAAATTAATAATTAAATAGTTCATACCCGAATGCTCATAGTTTTGTTCTGGCTTATTATCAAGTGCAAGCATTTCAGCTGCTGTCATTAAATTTGAATCTAAAAAAAAAAAAAAAATGAAAAAAAAAATGATTAATTACTACATATTTTACTATTTATTGTTAGATACATAAATAAATGATAAATAAATACTATCATAAATCTCAGGATTATTTTCGTAATTCAAAAAATTTACACCATTGCCAGGAAAGTAATTAAATTCTTCATATGGTAAGTCATCATAATCAAGTGGAATTAATAAGGCCATATTTTGAATTTTTTGATCGTCATTTGAATTATTATATGCCTTTATTTTTTATGGCTTCTGTGTCCAGAAAATTCTATTCGTTCATCTTCTGGAACGTTTAAATCTTTAAGTCTCTGAATTGCTATTCTACGTAATGAATGATTAGTAATTTTGCATTCATTATCTAAATTGAATTTAGTCAGATCAGAAATTTGTGACATCATTGTTCCTAATTTTTTTTCACCCATAGGACTAGTTTTGAACCATACGTCCTTTTATAAATCTTGTGCAATATATTGAGAATAAAGTGATATTAATATATTAATATATATATATTAAATATAAATAAACATATTATGTATTTATATATGTACCTTTTTTGGCTCTACTGGTTTCCAAGAATAGTGCATCATCGGCATTAAGAGGACAAAGAGAGATCATTTTTAAAATGTCATAAACAGGTTTGAAACGATTATTTGGATTGTTGGGAGAGATTGGTAATTTTCTTGTAGCTGATTTTCTATATTTATTACGTTTCAAGGCATCTCGTTGGTTATTTTTTTTATGTATAAGAACAAGAAACAATCCACCATGAGGTTGGCGGCTTATATCATTTACTTTTAATTTAGCAGTATCACCACCTCGCAAACCACAAAGTAGTGAAAGCCAAAAAAACACATGTCATACCAAACTTTCATTATCATTTCCAGACATAGATTCATAATCTAAAACTTGAAAAATTTCATCCACTCTAAGAGCAGCAGCCTGATCGATTTCTCCTAATCCTTCTTTTTGTAGTTTTTTTATTTTACCATTCAAGATTCGTAAGGCTTTTCCAAATTTGTAAGAGTTCTATATGTTACATAGCTTTATTGTTAAATGTTCTTTTAAATATCGTGCAAGAGAAGCATAACAATTGTGGATACTTTCAGCTTTATATTCCTTCTCATCTATTTGTTTTAGCCACATAATAAATTTGTAGAGGAAGTCTTTGAGTTCAACAATTTCAGATATGCTTTCAAATAATTTTCTATAATCAGATATTTCTTTATATTTGTCGACTGCCTGTAACTATTTTGCCATACATTTATCCATATTGTGTACTTGTGAAATTTTAAGTAGCTCTGAAATATTTTCATCAGTTGGTAATTTATTATGTGACATTGAAATGTTAAAAAGAGAGTTAAATCAAAACACAATCGCTCATTTTATCATTTATATATATTCATCATTCGAATTATTAGTTCTTATTATTTATTATTAAAAAAATCAAAACAAACTCATTCATTTTATCATTTATATATATATTCATTATCGAATTATCAGTTCTTATTATTTATTAATTAAAAAAGGTTTATTTGGGCAATAATATGGTTCCGTTAATGTATACATCATACCTGCCAGATAACAAGAAAATATTTAGAATGAAAAAAGAAAAAGGAACAGTATTCAATAAAGAATACTTTGGAAGACTTGGTGAAGTCGAATTAGAATTAAATGTACCAGAAAATGAAATATCTTTGAATTATAAAAGTAGACCAATAAGAAATTACCCAGAAGACCAAATAGAACAATCAAAGAAATTATATAAAGAACTGATAAATTTGAATATAAAAGAACCATTGAAAGCCAAATAGATAGCACCATTGGTAATAGTACCAAAACCTGACAGAAGCTATAGAGCAGTGATAGACTATACTATGCTAAACAGATACCTCAAATAAGATCTATTTGAAATACCAAATATATCTATAATACTTCAGCAAATAGCAAGACAGAAAATATTCTCAACATGTAATTTTAAAAGTATCTACTATTAATTTCCCTTAAAGGAAAGTGATCGAGATAAAAGTACTGTGTACTTTCCAGGTATAGAAAAATTTAGATTCCTAAAATGCCCAATGGGAATTAGCAATGCACCAGTATTTATGATAAGATACATATTTAAATTACTAGAAGATTTAGATTTTGTATTTGTATATATGGATGATCTAACAATAGGGAGTCAGACATATGATGAACACATTTCATATATTCAAATGGTGTTTGAATGCATCAAAAAAGTGGGCCTAACCCTTAAGGCTGAAAAATGTGAATTCATCAAAACAGAAATAATGATACTGAATCATAAAGTATCACACGGGAAGATCTCACCAAATCAAGTCAAAATTAAAGAAATACAAAAAATCAAACCACCAACTGAAAAGAAAGGAGTATAACAAT